CCCCCCCACCGGGGCCTGGCCTGCCCGGACGCCCGAGCTTACCTTGCCCACGTAGTGAGGCAGCGAATCGTTTCTCTCCTCGTCAATGTACAGCTGGTTCCAGATCCAGTCTCGCTTCTGGCGCTGGTGGGTGGGCTGCATGCCGGGAGGGTCCAGCGGCGCGGGGCTGGCGCCCCCCGTCGCTGCCCCCAGCAGACCCAGGCAGGCGCCCACCGCGGCGAGCAGCACCGTGAGCCTCTGCATCTTCGGGGGGCGCAGACCTGAGGCAGGAGGACAGACACCGCCGGCAGGGGCGTCACTCCCTCTGCTCACAGCTCGCCCTCCGCGCCCCCCGGCCGACGCCCACAGAGCCCGCCCTTTTGGGGGGGTGGGCACAGGGGCCACGAGCCTGGTGCGGGCGCTTCCTGATGGAGGGTGGTGCGGATGCCGACGCTGCCCTCCAGGTCCACCGCCCACAGGGGACAGCGGGCGCCAGGTTATCCTCATTTCGCACCTTGAGGAGTTGAGGCCCCGAGCTCACATGCGGGGTGAGAGCGGAACCCAGGAATCTGCCCTCCGCAGCTGACAGCTCCCCAGGGCTTATTATTTGCCTGACACCGTTGGAGCACCTTCTGCGATATCTCACTTAATCTTCCCAGTAGCCTGCCAGGTGAGATCTTTGTAACCCTCGCCTTACAGACGAACCGTTTGTAGTGCCACCCCTGAAATCACCCCAAGCAGTGGAGCCAGGGTTCGAACCCAGCTGTCTGGCCCAAAAGCTCATGTTCTTTTCTGCGACCTCCCCGCTGCCAGCAGCTGCTGCAGGGTGGGAGTCAACAGATCAGCCCCTGGCCCCCTTTGGCCGTGGGCTCCAGGCTTCCACGCCACCTGCAGGCCCTCAGGTGGAGGGCTCAGGCCCTCACTCGCAGAGGGAGAGGGCGATCGGCTTAGGGGCTTCCCAGGGTGGGTGGGGCTGGGAGGCTTCCTGTTCGTGAGGCTCAGTGGGAAGTGGAAGTGGGGGACCCTGGGTTCAAAAACGATCAAGACGGAGACAGCCGAACATTGAACTGGCCTCAGCCTCCACGTGCTGGGGTGACGGGCCGTGAAGACTGCCCTCGGGTGTGGGGTCCATCAGCCCGGGGTCACCGGGAAATGGAGGCTTGATTTTACCCTGAATTTCAGCGGCCAGTGGAGGCTGCAGCCCTGACTGTCCCCGCGCCCTCCCAGCGACGCTGGCCCCTGGGTCACTGACCTGCCAGCCCAGCGACGCTGGCCCCTGGGTCACTGACCTGCCCTCCTGGGATGGCGCGGCAGGAGCAGGCGAGTGGGCACGGGTGGCAGTGGGGAACCTCCCTGGGGCCAGGGGTCCTCCTGGCGGCCTCCCACCCAGGCAGAGGACAGGCTGCACTGTGCACGCCACAGGAGGCTTCTCAACTCTAGTAACATTTCCTCTGAGACGCTGGCGCCAGCCTGGCCCATAAGGAAGTGGGCTCCCAGCATTGGGGTGAGACGGGCTGGGGGTGCAAGGCAGTGCCTGGCCCCCTGGGGAGGCCTGGGTCTCAGGAACTTGCCCCTTGAGGTAAGATGTGGAAAGGGCCGCTGAACAAAAGCAGGAGGCTGGACGCTGTGCTCTGGCCGGGAAGCGGGGTCTGACTCGGGACCAACTGTGACCCCCTGCCCCAGCCTCGCTGGGCCCAGTCCCGGTGGGTCATTTCCCCCTTTGCCTAGAAAGGAACTGGAAATCTTGGTTTTTACTTCCTTCCTCAAGTGAGGTAGGACGCAAAAATGAAAATGTAAAACCAGCAGAAAAAGCGAAATAAACAAAACAAACAGAAGGGAGAGTTTTCAGGCCTCAGGACAGAGCGGGAGCCCCGTGAGCACCGAGCTGACAGGGACTAAGCACCTGCTGTGCTGGGCGTCACGGTGGGGCGCAGGGGAGAGGACCCACCCGCTGTCGTGGGAGCAGCAGGAGAGCAGCACAAAAGGACAGACGGCAGCAGTGACCGGAGGCGCTCAGCAGATTGCAGTGAGGCTTGCCGCAGAGTGAGCCTCCGGCCAGAGAAGTGCTCTCGGAGCTGACACTGAAGCCAGCAGCAGAGTGTCAGCCCTAGAAATGCCAGGGGGAAGAAGGGGATTCCAAGCAGAAGGCCCAGCAAGTGCAAAGGCCCTGAGGTTGAAAAATGATGGGTGTGTTTGAAGAACCAAAAGAAACCCTCTGGGCCAGGGAGAATTGAGAGTGTCTGTGGGAAGAGTTGGGCAGGCCGGTGTGGGGAGCCGAACGAGGGCCTGTGCCTCGAGCCTGGGACTGTATTACCTTGCAAGGCGCAAAGGGACTTTAACCCTGGGCGGGAGGCAGGCTCTGGGTAGCCCCACAAACCAGGTGTTCTCTGCATGTTCAGAGAAGCTCCCTGGAGTCCATTCCATGGCCTTTCTCTCCTGGGGCGGAGGAGGGGCTGACGTTCCCGGGGCACCCGTTAAGTCTTTCAAACCTCTCCACCTGTGAGGTGCTTGTTGGTAGCCCCATGTTGCAGGTGAAGCTCAGGGAGCTGGAGTGACGCCCAGGTCACACGTCAGCAAGGGCCTCGGTGCCCAGAGCAGCGCTCTGCACCAGGCCGCCCTCTGCCTTCCTCTGTGGGGACGCGCATGGGACAGCGACAGGGAACTGTCTCACGCATAGCTTGCCTGGACGCCATCTTATCTCATTTTCAGGCTGCCGTAGGGAGTAGGGATTCTCCCCCACCTCACAGAGGAAGAAACAGAGGCTCAGAGGCAACCACTTCATAAGTGCGGGGGGTTCTGGAGCCCTCACCCGGATCTGCCTTTTTCTAAGTCTTTCAACACCTAATCTCAGGGACTTGAGAAGCCAATTTTCATGTACCTTTCTCCTTTTGTATTAAAAACATGGCCATCAAAATGGTGGGCGTGTGGCGGGGTTTTGTAGAGGGACAGTCACCCCTCCTCACCCCTGGACTCTCCATCCCCGATGGGGAGGAAGTGGGGTGGCAGCGTTAGCCTGGGCTGGAATTCCCCTTGGCCACTCCTCTGGAAGCATGGACAGGGCCTCCCCTGAGGTCAGCCGCCTTGGGATGCTGTTGGGAAGGGTTTGGGGCAGAGCAGGCTGCGAGGGGAGTTTGCAGGTGACTGGCATGCTCCCAGCAGCC